ATAACTTCACAACGACTGGACCGTTTGGGCTGAAAATTTGCATAATTATAGTTCCCCATTTTTTATAATTCCCGTGTAAATTTCGTTGTATGTTTTAATTATGGATTCTATGCAACCATCATCGTTTCCCTGAGCTCAGACTTTTGATGTTGCTATTCCCGTTATTGGATATCTCATTAATGCATGATCCTTTTTTTATGAAAATTTGGGAGGATCAAGATTAGATCCCTTCCTTTCTAATGGGCTATCAAGCTTGTCTCGGTCGTTAATGGTTAATCTTCGCGCTTGCCTTTTAGACGTTGTCCTCGTTTTGCAGGAGTTTTAGTCATATCTCCGTCGTTTATGGGTGATTTCCCCTGTAATTACTTTCATTGGGTCCGTTTGGGGGACATCTACATTTCCTATTAAAGACACGACTTTGAATTTTGCATTAGTTCCTGAGGAATCCTTGTTCCGTGGTACTTCCATCCTTGGCTACGTGTGCGGACGTGGGAAAGTAGCTTCGGTGGAGGTTCTCTGATTGTTTTTATAGTCAAATCTTGGTCGATTGTCCTAATTCTGTGTTTAATATTTGCTATATATTCCCCCGAAAATTCCGTCTCGTTGATGCTAAGCTTGAAATATTTTTGCTAATTTTCTTTCTTTCGATTTATTGTGTATAGTCATAATAATTCGTAAAAATTCGTAAAAATTCATTAAAATTCAGGTCCTTCTATTTTCTCATATCTACTTGTCGTATGAGGTTTTGTGATTTATCTGGCATATTTCCATAATGGGTTTTCATAGTGTGACCGTTATTTCTCCTACACTGTAACTGTTAGAGATGTGTTGCAGATTCAGACGACTCCGGAGTGGAATTGGAGACTTAGCATGGAGGGACCTTGGCCTCAGCAACGCAAGTGGAGCGCTGTGCCATTGCTGTTTGTCCATTTGGTCCTTAATTTCACAGTAGGCGAGCAGGAAGTCTCTAGGGGGCATTTCAGGTCGATTTCAGACTGAGCCAAAACGAGTATGTACAAGCGCCGATATATATAATGGAGGGGGCAAAAGCACAAGGGAACAAAGGGGAACCGAATCGGAATGAAGACGTCCAAATGGGAACAAAGGGCAGAAGAAGCGGAGCGGTACTGAAGGTCATAAGGCAGGACCTGTGATATGTCCGAAAGGAGGTAGGGAGGGCGAGGCCCAGAGGGGCAGGAGGATGAGGAGAAGTGGGGATGATGACTAACTGGCTAGAATGGGAAGAAGCAGTAGTCCAAATAGGGATGAGGGGAAAACGCGAGAGATACATTACAAGTGGCAAAAGTGCCAAAGGCGATCCGTGAAGCTCGGAGGTTGCGGAGCTTACGGAGCTTATGGAGGCGGGGTTGAAAGTCTGAGGGATATTGGCAATGGTGTTTACATAGTATGAGGTCACCAATGCAATGGACTAAGACCGAGGTGGAGTCAAAGTCCGAGGTAGGGACTGTGATGGAGGCTCAGAGCAAAGGTACGAGCAGTGCCCGAGTACAAAGTATGGGACAGCGGTGGAAGGTCGTAACTTGGCGGGAGGTCGGCAGAAGAGTACCAGAGGGAGGAGAGAGGAGAAAGGTAAGAGGGAAGGAGTGGCGGAAAGGAGAGTTGTCTGGTCCGAAGGTGAGTATCGGAGTGGATGGGGAAAGCGTAGGGGGGTGACGGAAGGGTGGCGGTGTTGAGCGGAGTAGGAGGAGGAGGAGTAGTGGTAGGAGGGTGGCGAGAGGGGCGGTGTTCGGTCCGAGGTGAGTATCGGAGCGGACGGAGATAGGGGAGGAGAGGGAAGGAGGAGTAGAGGTGGCGTGGGGGGTAGAAGGAGGTGTGTTGCCAGGACCGAAGGTGAGTATCGGAACGGGCAGCGGTAGGGTATGACTCTGGAGGTGAAGAGGGTGGAGGTCCGGAAGTCGGGTCGGGGTCGGGTATGCATGGATATGACACCACAGTTGACAGTACAACGGTAATTTGGCTTGGACAGGGCCCTGGGGCATCACTTAATATTAGGGGGTTCACAAAGACACAACTATGCACAACTCAGACTTAACTTGAGTTCCTCAACTCAAACGCAACTGAACAAAACTACAACAAAACAGCCAGTTGTGTCGAGTTGCAAGTTGAGACTCACACGGCCCAACTGGATCAAAACTCATTCCCAACTCGGCCTTTAGAAATTTCTTAACTCCGCTGCCCAGTGACAGAAAGTCAGGTGAGGACTGTACAGTTTTGATTATCCCTTCATCATATCATGGCAGGATAGGTTTGGGACAGGATTAAGCGATGGTGGTGCTGATAGTAGGAATTTTGGATACTGTGAGCATGCTTCAGTTTGTGGGGGCTTGAGAGTCGACATCAACTGTGTAGTTCTTACATAAGTCAAGGGTAGACGGTGTTAAAGAAATATTAGTTGAGCCTAAGATATGGATCTTTGTGAACCCCTGTAACTAGTTCCAAACTGATCCTAAACTTCAAAAACTATTGAGGCATAACTGCACCCACACATGATGGAGTTGCATTCAAGTTGTGCCTTAGTTTTGCTCCAGATGTGCCTTCATGAATCCCCCTATTGGTTTATGCTGCAAAAAAATGCCAAATCTGTTAGACACTGGTCTGGGGTCGGCACTGAGGGTCGCCATTGCAGGCCGCTATAGGCCATGATGGCCATGATGCCGCAAACAAGGCCCGAGGGTAGGGCATTTGCCCTCAGCGACTCTAAAGGAGCACTGTGCCCCCTAGCTGTCTCTTGGCCCTCATTTCAGACTTACTGGGGTTGCCTTGCTGGGGTCAGGACTTAGGAGGTCGTGGTCAAATCGATATTAGAGCTAAGGTACAATAAAGTATCATACAGGATATACATATATAGGGAGAAAGAATGAATGGAAGCGGACCCGGGCTGAAGGCCAAAGGGTCCGGAAGCAAACATGAATAAGGAGTGGGGTTGGCCGCATAGCGGCTGGCAATGACCGAGGGTCAAAACAAACAATAACAGATAAATAAAGGAAGGAGCGTAGGGCCATGATAGCAGCAATGGTATTGTAGCGGTGCCAGACTCGGAGTTGGGCTGGAGTCAGGTGCGGGAATGATAGTGGCCCTGTAGGGGCCAAGTGGGTGGGGTAGAGGAGTCACGCTGGGCATGGTGCTGGAGGTGGACTCAGGGCAGGGAGGTTGGTGTGGCTGTGGGGGAGTCGGCCAGGTGCAGGGAAGCCTAGGGGCAAGTGGGGGGGTGAGCAGGGGGTCCTCGAGGAGAATAGGGATGAGGGTTGGGGCTCGCACTCATGCTCGCGCAGCGGGACAGGCTCAGGTGGTATCAGGATGGGCCGGGAACGGGCTGGAATGCACAGCCATGACAAAATCCCTGGGGCTTTAACAAGGCATCCAATAATCGAAGGCAGAGTGCAAGGCATGGGGTGCAGCATAAATTGTCACCTAGGAAAGTAGGGTTCAAACAAAAACTACTGGATCTGATGGCCCACTGTAAGGAATGGATGATGCGCACTTTGCACGCATTTCCTCTATTCATTATTCTATAATAAACTTCGAACTAACCAATGTAAAACACCTGTATGTACATATATAGCATCCGGGGTTGGGAAAGGAGCTTTGCTCTTCTCCTCCCCCCCTGTCAAATACTAGCTCCATACAGTCTACGTTATCAACAGCCTGAGGATTGAGGAGTCACCAAGGCCGGCACCCCAACCGGCCTTACAGCACTACATCCAGGCCCCCTCTACCCTGGATGCATCCCTGACAGTTCCCCACATCAAGATGATCGTCGATGGCATGCCTCTCATCTGTCCCGACACGGTCAGTAGAGACTGGGGGTGATGTTATAGGAATGGAGTCTCCCATGACCATGTTGACTGAGCATCAACCACAGCGGGTTGTCAGGGGATGGACCCTGGGTCCCCATGACCCCTCTCCACGGCCCACAGCCTAACCCGCGAACAGCCCTGTCCAGGGCACAACTCTACTGTGGGTAAGAAAGTGAGAAGAAAGTTAACTTCTCACTTTCCCACAGAGCATGTGGGGTGGAAGCACACATCCGGGTCCGGCTAGTCAGGGTGTGTGCCCTGACAACACTGTGGGAAACCCTCCAGACAGTGGCCAGCACTGTGCACAGACATGAGGAGGACAGCCACACTAACCCAAAGACTCACATCCAAAAAAGTATTTTGTTCCTCAATGATTTATTGGTCAATTCAATCTCAAAATATATATTCTGGAAGCTATTCAAAGGGGCTATCCATCTGCATAAAGTGCATTGAGACTGTGGGAAACAGTGCTGACACCCCTTCAGACAGTGGCCAGCATTGTGCACAGACAGTTGAGCAGCCTGAGGATTGTCATGGGAAATCAGATTCAATTGTGGCATTATGTTTTGAATGTCTACCCTGAATAAGACAAATTTGATAAGCATTTGATTGAATTATAGAATCATCCCAGGACATCCACTAGTAAATACCCCCATTAGATGGCTGACTAGGCTGGTTCATAAAACTATTTTTCCACATTATTGCAAATTTCTCAGATTTTATTTGATACCTTGTTTTTGTTTTTATGTGGTTTTATTTGCTGTTTTTCTTCATTTTCTGGACCATCTTTTAATCTCTAGACTTGAAAGCTCCTGTGGATGTTCAGCTCATTGACTCTGTTCGATATCTTATTTTAATTCATTTTGCTGAGTTATGATTTTATTACTGTTTTTATTTCCGGTCCGTGAGGTTGTATGATTTTTATCTAATTTTCCGAGATGATTTCTGGTTGTTTTAGTGTTGTAATTTTTGCATTCCTACAGTGCTTAACTACATCGCTAGTTTCTCCCACAACAAAATGAATTACAAACACATAAACAACTGAGTACAAGAAGTGGGTAGGAAAAGGGGAAAGTTTGAAAAGGCAGGTCCGGCAGAATGTATGTCTACTTCAATTTCGATGGGATGAAGTCACCAACCGACTACCTCCAAGTTTGTGGTGTCCTTAGGTGGATTCCGAACTCATGCAATGGCATGTCGCTCCATGTTCTTGGTTAGGGCGTCAGGACTTTGAGCATGCTGACCTAAAGCGACGGCTATCACCCCCACAACCCCTGCAGCTGACATGTCAGTACCGCTCAGCACTATTGAATCGGTCTCGCTATCGGGCCAGGCACTTTCAACCTGGACACCCAGGTAGGAAGCAGTGATGGCAGGTCCCCAGTTGGAGAAGGTCGCGAAATTGCCATCATTGTCAATAGCACCAATGGTGTTAACTCCAGCAAGACGTTGAGGACTGAAATCTCCTGCATTCATGCTTTGATCCCCTGCACCTATTACAATGTGCAACCCATGGTTCATGAGAGACTGGATGACTTGGTCCAAGTAATTGTCCCCAACTAAGCCGGCGGATAGTACAACGACGGAAGGGCGTTTACGAAAGTCGGATTGTTGAAAAGCCCAGCTGAGGCCTCCGAGCAGGTTGGATACATATCCCACACCACCATCGTCACAAGTCTTGACCGAAATAACCTTGGCACCAGTCGCTGGGCCATACCCTAGCCCCGCTGCCAGTGCGGCAACATATGTGTCGTGACCGTTATAACCGTCCTTATATGGACCAAAAATCTGCATACACAAATAGGTATGAGTGAACATATATGACACAGAGTGTGTAAAGAGATACGCACCTTACCGGGAATGACCTGATTTATACCAAAGCAGCTGTGCCGACGGTCAACACCAGCACCTAGGATATAAATATCCACTCCACTTCCATCACATCTTTTGACCGGGTTATCCCCTATTTTAGCCGCAACATCATTGCGCTCTGTCACGTCCCTCTCATTCACTTTGCGGAGGCCATGGCCAATGAAAGTTATGCCATCAGCTATGACATAGTCAACTTCAGGGCAACTAAGAATGTGAGCAAGGGATGCTCCAGTCGAGTGTGCGGAGTAGCCATTCGGGACTAGGAAAGTTATTATATCTTTGGGGGGAAATCCTCTAATATCAACTTACTTTCATACCGGTGAGTGAGTAAAAATTCTGACCCAGGGCTCCGGGTTGAGATCTGAGTAATACCTTCAATATGGTCTTCCATATTTGTACCGGATTTCAGCACGCTAAGTAATGAATGAGTCCGCCAGTATCATGCTATGCTTGTGTATGGGACATACACGATGTACGAGTCAGGCTTTACTGGACCCTTTGGCATCCTGATACGAACAGAGGCAGCGAGGGCCGTTGCTGTAGTGGATGCGAATATAACGACGAGAATAGTCACGGTTGAGAACTTCATTGCTGTAGCTACTGGATGGGTGGTGAAGAACAGGGGGCTAGGGAGAATCGACGGCAAGCTGAGAGGATGTCTAATATATCAGCACATTACACAACCCGATTTTCGCCTGGGTCTGCACAATACACATCCTGATTGGAGGTAGATCCATTTCATGCAGCGAGACTTGACAACCTATGACGGAAATGGGACTAGGGAAACATCCATGAAAGCAGGGTCTTCAGACTGCTGGGGACCGACGAAGAATGCCCTCATCGAATTGGAGATGATTGGGAGGAGTGTGAGTATGGCTCCTATCCGCAATCCGGCGGATTTGGGGATGAAGGTTGAGGGAAAAATCGTTTCCGAAGGCTATAGTTTCGGATATGATTGCACTGTAGAACATGCTTCCGGGCTTGCTTCCTTGCCTGATGGCACTTGCACTCCCAGACTCTTTTCGCAACACGAATAACCTAACCAGGCTAGTCAGCCAATTAACCCACCCTATTAAGGGGTGTTTGTTACGCTTCAAATAGGGCCTAAATGGCCTATTTCAATGTGGACGTCCTGGTGATGCGGCTTGCTGCCAAAAGTGGACTGTGGGAAAATCTGAGGATGTCCTGATAACTATGTGCCCCATGATTAGTAGATAGGAAAATGGAAAAGGTAATTGAATATTAAGGGAGTTAGGGCCGAGGTGGGGGAATGGCCAATGATTTGGAAAATCCATCGCTTACAAGTACATACAAGCTCTGGCTAACATTCTGCAAGGAAATGTATAACCTTATAGCTAGGTATCAGAATGAAGAACACACATGTTATGTCGCATGTAAGCATATATTACCACATTCAAGTTTTAACATGTGTTGTCATGAATATTCACCGAACATGGATTGCGTGGGAAAAGGGAAAAAGTCGACATTCAGAGTCTCTCAGGAGCCTTAAAAATATAAAAAAATATCCTGAATTCCCGTGGAGAATATTCTTCTTATAGTACCAAGTTGGAGAGAAATCGATGGCATTTCTGTCAATATATTTGCAAGTTATGCCGATTGATGGCAACACAATGAATAAAGTTGACGATCTCCACAACGGCTGAACTAAATCTCTCCGCTATAGACTAGTTCGACTCACTTTGATAACAGCTTTCCAATGATACAATATATGTGTAAACCGACGAAGAAATGGGGGAGAAATGGGGGAAATACTGCTGGAGCAGCCTGATATGAAAGAAGGTTGACACGAAACCAAACCGTCCCTTTCCATGCTTTTTTTTGAGCCACACTAACTTCTCCTCTCCTCCAGCTTTCCAACAAGTTCAATTTTATTCAAATTGGCCCTGTGGTTCTTGAGGTACCACCATTGACAGGTGCTGTCAAGTGTCATATCCATGCATACCCGATCCCGACCTGACTCCCAGACCTCCATCTTCACCACCTCTGGAGTCCTACCCTACCGCTTTCCATTCCGATATTCACCTTCAGTCCTGACACCACACCTCTTCTCACCCCTCATGCCACCTCCACTCCTCTGTCCTATCTCCATCCGCTCCGATACTCACCTCAGACCGAACATCACTCCTCTTGCCACCCTCCTCCCACTCCTCCGCTTCCTCCTCACAACACCTCCACCCTTCCATCACTCTCTTACCCTTCTCCCGTCCACTCTGATACTCACCTTCGGACCTGACACCTTTCCTCTCCTCCACTCCTCTCCCCTTTCCACTCTCCTCTGTCATATCCGTGCATACCCGACCCTGACCCGACTTCCGGACCTCCACCCTCTTCACCTCCGGAGTCATAACCTACCGCTGCCGTTCCGATACTCACCTTCGGTCCTGGCAACACACCTCCTCCTTACCTCTCCGACCCTATCTCTGTCCACTCCGATACTCATCTCGGACCGAACACCGCCCCTCTCGCCACCCTCCTACTACTCCGCTCCCCCTTCACAACACCTCCACCCTCCCGTCATCCTCCTACGCTTCCCCCGTCTGCTCCGATACTCACCTTCGGACCTGACTACTCTCCTTTCCGCCACTCCTTCTCCCTTACCTTTCCCCTCTCTCCTCCCTCTGTTACTCCTCCGCCACCCTTCCGCCAAGTTATGACCTTCCACCGCTGTCCCGTACTTCGCACTTGGACACCGCTCATACCTTGCTCCGAGCCTCTGTCATAGTCCCTACCTCGGACTTTGACTCCACCTCGGTCTTAGTCCATTGCATTGGTGACCTCATACTACGTAAACACCATTGCCAATATCCCTCGGACTTTCAACCCCACCTCCGTAACCTCCGTAAGCTCCGCAACCCCTGAGCTTTGCGGATCGCCTTCGGCACTCTCGCCGCTTGTAATGTATTTCTCACGTTTTCCCCTCATCCCTATTTGGACTACTGCTTCTTCCTATTCTAGCCAGTTAGTCATCATCCCCACTTCCCCTCATCCCCCTGCCCCTCTGGGCCTCGCCCTCCCTACCTCCTTTCGGACGTATCACAGGTCCTGCCTTATGACCTTCGGTACCGCTCCGCTCCTTCTACCCTTTGTTCCCGTTCGGACGTCTTCGTTCCGATTCGGTTCCCCTTTGTTCTCCTTGTGCTTTTGCCCCTTCCATTATATATATTGGCGCTTGTACATACTCATTTTGGTTTAGTCCGAAATCGACCTGAAATGCCCCCTAGAGACTTCCTGCTCACCTACAGTGAAATTAAGGACCAAATGGACAAACAGCAATGGCACAGCGCTCCGCTTGAGTTGCTGAGGCCAAGGTCCCTCCACGCTAAGTCTCTGATTCCACTCCGGAGTCGTCTGTTTCCGCCCGGTTCTAACACTCCTCTCTCTTCCCTCTAACCCTCTTCCACTGACCTTCTGCCAAGTTACGACCTTCCACCGCTGTCCCATACCTTGTACTCAGACACCGCTCATACCTTTGCTCCGAGCCTCCATCATAGCTCCTACCTCGGACTTTGACTCCACCTTGGCTTTAGTCCATTGCATTGGTGACCTCATACTACGTAAACACCATTGCCAATATTCCTCAGACTTTCAACCCCACCTTTGTAACCTCTGTAAGCTCCGCAACCTCCGAGCTCCATGGATCATCTTCGGCACTTTTGCCGCTTGTAATGTATCTCTCGTGTTTTCCCCTCATCCCTATTTGGACTGCTGCTTCCATTCTAGCCAGTTAGTCATCATCCCCACATCCCCACATCCTCCTGCCCCTCTGGGCTTCGCCCTCCTTACCTCCTTTCAGATGTACCACAGGTTCTGCCCTATGACCTTTGGTACCGCTCCGTTTCTGTCATCCCTTTGTTCCCGTTCAGACGCTGTAAGGGGGCAAGGGATCTACCACCCTAACGAGAAAGAGAGGGGGCCTAGGGTTGGGAATGCTCAGGGGAGGTCCAGATGATGAGGAGGGGGGAGGAGAAATGGTCCGGGTGCGATGTGATAAAAATGATAATCTCGTAAATCTCACTGATAATCAAACTGATGGGAACTCTGTCCCTGCACTATGTCTTGAGCCTCTTTGGCTTCGTATTCGCCGCTCTGGGCGCTGGTAAACTTTGCTAGAACTTCATGTTCATTGGGGAGCACCTCTCTCTGTTTGGGGGAGTCCTTTTTGTAAATACAGGGAAGAGGGTAACTATAAATATGAAAGAAATACGTGGAAATCCGAATGATCCGACGGGTTAGGATGGCAACAGATCCACAAGGAACACTTAAGAAAAAAGCAATATCAAAGAAATATTGACGTTGTTAAGGAAATAAAGAAACATGGCGATCGCCTCAACCGCTGAACCAAATGCGTCACTCGTAACATCGTTCGACTCGTGTTGACAAGGGCTTTCCAACGATACCAAATTCGTCCAGATCGGTGGAGAATTGATGGAGATACAGAGGAAGCGGCGGAATTTGCGGGTGACAGTTACCCAATTTGGAAACTGATGGTTGTCCGTGGTCAGGAATGGCTTGAAAAAATCGGAAAAAAATATAGGAAACGTGGAAGGGGTATCTGGAACAGTGGTAGATGTGTTTTGGGAGTGGGGTACTTGACATGGGTGGTAGAATCGCGATAATCGGCTCGTTTGCATGGTACTGGCTGTGCCCACCTACAACGCCTTTGTTCCGATTCGGTTTCCCCATGCTTTCGCCCTCCCCATTATATATATTGGCACTTGTACATACTTGTTTTAGCCCTTAGTCTAAAATCGACCTGAAATGCCCCCTAGAGACTTCCTGCTCGCCTCCTATGAAAGTAAGGACCAAATGGACAAACAGCAATGGCACAGCACTCCGCTTGAGTTGCTGAGGCCAAGGTCCCTCCTTGCTAAGTCTCCAGTTCCCCTCTGGAATCGTCCGCCCTTGCCCAGTTCTAACATCAAGTCCATGTGAGATTCAGCATGGTGTTGAATCAGAACCTCTACTAATATTTGTCCATTCAGCACAAAAATGGGCATGGTAGGAGAGCTAATCGTGCTCTATTGATCGAGCATAAGAACGTTGGGTATAAATGCATAGTTGTGGAGACCATTGAGTAAGAAGTTGAAAGTTATGCTGTGCATGAGAATCCTGCTTAGGAACTGAAAATGGTTTCAGAAAAATGTCAAAATTGTATCCGGTGCGACTTACTGGACTTATCTGGAGCTCCAATTCAAATGGCTTCAAATCCAGGTCACATGGCAAGGACATAAAATCATGCACAACCCTGGTATTGAACCCAGGACCTCTAGCATGCATCCATACACTACTCACCCTTGAGCCATGCCAGTATAGGCTGTTAAACTCTATACTATTGGGAACATATTATATTCTCCAACAAAAAATAGACAGAAAATTGGAAAGAGCAAGTAATGTGGGTCATAAATGGATGTGCAAATGGAGGCAAGACTGGGCCTGTGTGCTGTGTGGGCTACAGTGTAACATCCATAAAAATAGTTATTTTGTGGTGTATGAACCTTTCCCTGTGAAAACAAACAGAAATAATATGCTATGGTAGCTTCAAGAACATTCCAATTGGGTTTAAAAAAT